AACCAGTAACTTCGGAGGAGTTCAAGTTCAGTTGTCACTTCAGAATGGTCAGATTCTTTACAATATATGACCCAGCAAGGGTCAAGAGAGGTAGAAGCCAATCAAAGGTACCAGCTTTTTATTCTTGGACAGCAGCACATCAGTTATATAACACATGGGCTATTGCATTGTAGGAATCACCTAAAGGGAACGGGAACTAGTTTTAAATTTTATTTGGTGAAAAAGAATCTTGTATTCAAAATAATGAGAGATGTTAGAAAGATACTTGAATTGTTCACCTCATAAAGTCATATGGAACAGACAGAGGTAGATGTCTTAGTATGCAAAGAAGGGGATACTTTTTATTGATTGTCAAGGTTACATCATCAGGAAACTGGAGGCATTTTTAGTTAAGAGTCCTCAAAAAGAGCCCTAAAGTTATTGGATTTTAACATCAGATATAAGAGCATAAGTTTCATCACCTCGAAGAGTGTGATTCTGATAGTTGTAACTGTACGCACAGTCTGTACATACAAACTGTACATACAAACACCATTAAAAGTCTTGTGAATGTTAAGCAGAATGGTGCCTGCTCTGCACACTACAATTCAAGAAATGCAAGTAAAGTTTAGGTCCCCTGTAAACAGTCCATGCCTGTTAGCCTCACAGTTGAATGATATTTGACCTGGACCTTGCACGTTAGTCAAACACTGGTATGTGTACACGCTAGAGTAGTCAGCCTATGGTTACAGTGCAATAGCAAGAGTGTAGGAAGCCTTTGTACTCAATTGCTAGTTTTTCTAAGTTTGGCTAGCCTGATAATCAGGACATCAGCAATAAGCAATGTTAGGCTTTTTAAATTTGATCTTTTGCAGTTAGTATTCAGTCCAATGGGTCACTGCTGACCTCTAGTGGCTGCCTTGTATAATATTGGCTTCTAGTCCAACCAGAACACAAAACTCTCCCTCTGCCTGAAGAAGGGTGGTTGTGCCTGGAAGCTTGCAGAGAACAGTTTTTCCAACTATTTAATGGATCTAATAAAAGATATCTCATTTACCCAAAGAACCTTGTCTGCTTCTTGTATAACATAAAGGCTTTTAATATACCATAAATGTACTGTCTTTAGTGTCTGTCCCTGAATCTTACCTTGTGCAGACTTTTTCCTAACCCGTAAGTAGTGTAGCTGGTCCTGTACACTGCCTAAGATGGGCTAACTGGCTTTGTTAAATGGCTCTGCCAATTAGCCTGACTTCAAGCTAATTGGAGCTGTGCAGCTGAGACTACCTAGCTCCTCGTGAAAGAGGCAGCATACTCAGAAAAGTGTCTTCTGCTCGAAGGCACTGCCACAGGGGACAATACATTTACAGCACAGGTATGGCCAAAGTTATCTTAAGAGAGGCCAGCATTAGAGAACATCTGTTCATTTTTTTTTTTTTTTATGAACTTAGGGGAATGTTCAATTTGTTTGCATTTTTGTCACACCCATGATGCAAGAATCACCTGCTTTAAGTAATTTTAAGGATGGCTTCAGAATTGTGAGGAGAAAGAGATTTGGTAAAATCCTGCTCAAATTCAATGACATTTCTGAATTAACCTGAAGCAAAATAACATTTTACGCTATCCTGGAAGTACCCATATCTTCTTTAGTTCTTTTTCTACTGTGAACATAATGAGGTTTGCAATTATTCTGCACAGCAGGAAAATCTGTGACCACATCTACTCCATATTCATTTTTCAAGTCACATATTAAACCAACAAAATGCTGTTGAGAGGGGAAAAACAAAAATAAAAACCAACCCACTGCCATAGCTGAAGAGATGGGGAATGGGATAGCAAACCTTTCACTTGCAGGTCACCACTTCAGATCAACTCCAGTTGGCCGCATTCAAATGTTATTGCCATCTGTTCACTCATGGTACATTACTAAGATGGCATTAGTTCAGTTCCTAGGGGGCATGTGCCCTCATCATAAACAATCTCTGCTTGTGCTTCTGTTGGTGCTGTCATTTGGTAGTTTCACCAGAAAAGCCAAGGAATGAATGAAGGGCCCTGGAGAGAATGATGCTTGCAGCTCACAAGGGGACCCCGCTGAGAGTTACGTTCCATCAGTGGGGCAGTGGCAGTGGGGGGAAGCTGGCACTTCCAAAGCCCATACTGCAAGTGTTTTCTCAGCAAACAGATGCCTTCACTTCCCAGGGCTGTGACCTGCTCTTTGAGTTCTGGGTTGCCACTGGTGCTTGACCAAATGTGCCTTGTACCGTTTTGGTGGGCTCTGGCAGAGTCTGGGGGCTAAATGCAACTCTGACTCTTTTTGCAGTTGCCTTAAGGGTACTTATTTAAATCCCAGGACACTGGTATTAACCTCTCTCAGAGGGATGACCTGCATTCCCCTCCCTCCAGACTGGGGCTTTAGGCTACTGACTCCTTATTACAGCTTCTTTAGTGGATCCAAGTGTAGTTCAACATTTCCAGAGCTATCCTCCCTCGGGGACATGAGAGTGACGAGCCAGCTTCCACAAACACAGTAATATTTATTTAGAACAAAAGTATGACAGAAAAAAATATAATAAAACAATAAACAGCTTACACACAGGCTTACTAGGACATCTTCCACATAGAGCCCTGGCAGGCACAGCACTCCCATTTGCCAAGTCTATTCTTTGGGTCCAGTGTGAGAGCAACCCTTCTTTCAGACCAAAGTTGTATATCCAAATTGTTTGCCATCTTTCTTTTACCCACAGCATGTACCATTTTCCATTCCTGCCCTCCCTCCATCCCACATGGGTCAGACTGCCACCCTTCCTCCCCTTTGAGTCAGGAATAAATATTTAAGAGCATGGCTGCAGCAATCTTGGAATATTTCAGTGTCACATTGGTCAGGATTTCTACTCATCTATCCCTGTCCTCTAATAGGCTGGCATCTTTCACAAGCACTAGATTCACACCCAAGAACATCCTAGAATGAGACAGACAAGGTTCTTTGGGTAAATCTGGTATATTTTATTAGACCAGGTCAAATAGTTGGAAAAAAATTTTTTTTTGCAAGCTTTTGGGAACAAACACCCCTCTTCCAGCCCAGAAAAAACTGAGTACAAGAATGCTCTGGTCATACCTTTTCTTCCTTTTTCCATCTCTACACCAGGGATGGCATGGAGAAAGGGAGCTCTTCCTTAGGACTCCACAAAAAGCCTTATTTGATGTCCCTCAGCTGAGAAGACCCCCTTGAAGCCAGCCCTGGTGTGGCTGCTTCTTTCCGTGGAGCGCCAATGAAGAGCTCCCCTGCTTCCCCCAAAACACACCCACCCACCAAAAAAGGCATTAGATCCTGTGACAGCTGGTTTTGTGGTTCCTTTAAAAAGGGGTTTCAGCAGAGGCTGGAAGTGGGGTTCTTTTAATTAAAAAACAGTCACCTGCATCATTTGCTGTCCTGCAACGCTCTCTCACTTCGGACCTAAAGGGAGAACAGCAGGTCATAGTATCATAGTGCTTAAGGTCGGAAGGAACCTAAACAGATCATGAGGTCCAACCCCCTGCCCTGGGCAGGAATGGTGCTGGGGTCATATCACCTCAGCCAAATATCTGTCCAGCCTCCTCTTGAAGACCCCCAAGGTAGGAGAGAATACCACCTCACTTGGGAGCCCATTCCAGAGCCTGGCAGCCCTAACTTTAAAGTAAGGTCTTGAGTATGTGAAAATGGAGCTGTAACAGAAATCTGTAGTTAAAACACCTTTGTTTTTGGACTGAATGGCCTTCAAGGCCCATTCTGACCCTGTGATTCTTCAATCTACTACCTGCAAGCCCTCCAATAATCAAGAGAGTGGACACATTTACTCACCTGTTGCTCTTCCGCAACAAAATACTTTATAGACTTTTCTGATTAACTCTTACAATGACCTGGGTAAGTGGTATATGATTTAGCAGTAAGGATACATGTCCCAGCTCAGGGATAGCATGAGAGGGAGACAAGTCTTGGGAGTCAAACACAATAAATAAGCCTTCTCTTGGCTCCAGAATGATGAGACACTAGGAAGGAGGTTTAAAAACGTGCCGGCTGCTAACATGTTGGGAGGGAACCAGGCAAGGTTGGAACAGAGCAGGACTGTTAATCCCTCTCCATTTTTCTGCAAAGCCTGCCTCAAACTAATGGACATAAGAAAGATCAGAGATGAAAGTAAGTTCAGAAAAGGGTGAGGTGGAACCTGCAGCGTACCCTGATGCTTTAGATCCAGTCCTGCTCTGAAGCAGATAGTGGGGAAGGGGTTTTTCTCCCACTCTCTCTTCACTGCATCTTTCCTCCCTCCTCCTTTGGGCAACTAAAAGGTAGTGCACACCACCCACTATGGTTATTGGAATGGGGAATCCTGGTTCAGAGGCCAGCCCATACCAAGGAGAAAATCAACTGGGTGCCCGCTTTGCCTTGGACACATGAAGGGGCCACCTCATAAGCCCCAAGCCCAATTAGTTTGCCAAGGAAAGGAGAAGCTACCGTGATCCTAGCTTGTTTTCTCCGTGCCCCCTGCCTGACCTGCAGCTGAGAATTCAGTACACGAGGAAACTAATTTTACACTTTCCTTTCAGGCAGATGGAAAAGGGCCCTTTCAGTAACCCAGGCATCACCACCCCCACCCTCACCCAGATAGCACCTTGTAGCAAGCAGCAAGACAGGAGAACAAACTGCATCTTAACAGGAACTGTTTCTCTGTCAGTCTTTAAAAGGACCAAGAGATTGTGGTAGCTGATGTCTGATCAGCTCTCACAAGCCAAAGGAGGTTGGAGAGGGGTTGCCCCCCCGTGACATTCCTACCTGGGCTGAAGACATCTTGCCGGGAACTGCATTAAGGAGGTTCAGCCAGTGTCTACTCACCCTTTACCCACCCCACCTGAGGCAGTGCCTGTTCTTAGCAGCAGGACATCTTCTCTTTCCACCCCAACACCGTAGCCAGGTGGCTCTCTTGCTTAGCAGCCCAGCTCCCCAGCTGCCTTTTCCGCCTGCCACAACTTCACAGAGAGCACACACTCTCCCAGGGGGTCAAACTTTGCTTGTTTAATGTGCAATACAAAAGGCAAATCTCCCAAGTTACACTGAATAACCAGCATTAGTTCTAAGCCCAGAGCACCCCTCACCCGCCACCTCTGGATAAGGCACAGTTTGTTTAAAGTATTATCTCTCCTCAATGTTCCCTCCCTTAAGGCCATGTCTACAGCAGAAGCACTTTGCCAGTATAGGAACAGGAGTATGCTACCCTGGCTAAGTGCTTCAAGCACAGTCCCAGCTATCCCAGCAAAGCTGAATCTTGTTCTGCCCTTGGTAAACCACCTCTAGGGAGCTAAACAAGCCAACCTGGGAAGCGTGCAGTTTTGCAGGCATGCTTGCCTTTGCCCTGTCAGCACAGTTGTGTCAGTCAGGGATCACACCCCATCACTCCCCTGACTTACAAAGCCTTGCTGGCAGGGGTCTTGTAGTGTAAAGCTGGCTGAAGACTCACTTCCCCTGTCCCATAATGGAAGAGAGGAAAAATTGAGCTAAAAGGCACAGGTTGAATCCAGAGAGAGTCGTAATCAAAGATCATTTCAAGAGTTTGCCGAAGGCCCTGCCCCTTCCCCACCACCTCCTTATAAAGGTGAAGCTGCATGCAGCCCCTCCACCCCTTGGATTCAGTACCATTTGCAGTCTCATCCCCAGCCACGAGATTTGGTACCTGGATTACGTGCAGCAAAACCATATGGCCCATGATGAATAGGATGCTGGAGGCAAAGAGCAGTGGAGGGAGGGGGCAAGAGGGGAGAGGAAGGAGGAAGATGTTGCAGATTGTGTGCACTTGTGCAACAAGACACAGTAACAGACCATTACTGTCCACGCCCTCCCCCATGTCTTCCCACCCCTGCATCTGTACCATACTTGCTTTCCTATTTCAGCAGAAAATGGGCAAAAGTCAGCCCCTGAGAGTGGAGGCCCCAGCTTTCGATAGAAAATGCAGCCTGTCAAGGGGAGGATGCAGGGTGGCAGCCACTTTCAGGGTGGGTTTACAGTGATTTCATTTGGGCGGGCGGGGGGGACAGGGAAATTCTTCTGCTTGCTCTCATCACACAGCAACAACCCCAGTACTCCCCCAATTCATCAGGCAGTGTGACTAGCAGCTTTGCAAACTCCCCACCACAAGTCTGCTCTGTTACATCCCTGAATATGACAATGTTCAACTTAACCCCAAAGCAGCCTAAAAATGGGAAGAGGTGGGGGGAAATAAGGGGGCAGGGCCCTTCCTCTCCCAGCCCCTGGCAGGAAGAGAGCAGAACAGCACGCATGGCCTCTTGCTCCAGCACACCAGTCTGTAGGGTTCATAAGGCAAACATGGCGTCGTCTTCCTTCTCCCGCTTCCGATGAGGGTTGGAGGTGGCGGGGGGCGCGGGCATCCCTCCTGAAGGGCTGGGGAGTGTGGGCAGCTGGTCCGCTGCCTTTGCTCGCTCTTCTAGGAACTTGTCAAATTCTGGGGTGGTGGGGGAAGAGAGGGAGAGAGAAAGATAATTAGCAAGGGGGTAGGAAGACTGAGCTGTTGACAGAACAGCTCCAGGAACAAAAGAAGGAAAAGAACTGGTGGCCCTTACCTTCACTAGTGACGCCCTTCGCACCCTCTGGCTCAACACCCTGAGGAAGAACAAAGCCATGCTGGGAAGTAGGGCAGATGAGAAGAGACACACAGGGCACCCTGTGTGGATATGCAGGTACACAGCGATGCCCAGCCCCAATGATAACCTCTTGACCCACCCAATACGAACACCAGGCAGTGATGATAGGAGAGCAAAAACACTACACCTTGATCACATTTCCCTGAAAGCTTCTCAGCCAGCTGGCAGGCCTGGTCACAGTGGTCCCCCAGACCATCACCCTCTGCTTTTGTATCACAACCAAGATGCTCTTCCAAGCCCCTTCCTCTCTACAGGACGATGAGAGCTTTGGTGACCTGGATTGCACTCACTTGCTCCCCCACAGTGGTGTCACGGTCATGCTGCTCAGCCTGCGCCAGCCCTGTTACCTGCCCTCTCCCCTCCATTGGAAGGCAAAGTGGAGTCCAGTACCACACCACAGCTGACTTCACATGGGCTATGTGCACACAAAGACCTAAGTATGTGCTGAAGAGTTTTCATAATTGGGCTCCACAAGAGGGGAGGTGGAGCAGCAGCCTAGGAGAGCTGGGAAAAGGGAGAAACTGGGTGGTGGCAACATGGAAGGGAAACAGGGAACACAGGATGGTCAGTGTTGCAAGGTCAGATGAAGGGCTATTGAGGGGAACTACTTCTCAAGTAACATGGCCCTACTTGCACTTGCAATGGTCCTTCAGTGTTATCTCCAGCATCCCTAAGATTTTGAGCCTTTACAGAGGCCACAGGAGATAGTCCATTGCCTTTCCTGAGAAGCAGCTGAAGAGTCACAAGAACCAGCCCAGCTTTGCCCCTCACTTACCACATCAGTGGAGAGCCACTGCTCAATGTCCTCCATGAAAGCAGCCTGGGGGACTGGGATCTGGGGCAGAAGAAAGAGAAGTCTGAGGCACAGGGGAAAGGAATGTTACTCCAACCCAGTCCTGCAGGAGCTCCTGCTCTGTCCCATGCTATGTGTTTAGCATAGCCCCACATCCTCTTAGCCACCCCTGTCACAGCACATCCCACTGACAACACCATGGTATCCCCAAAGCACAGGACTTTAAAGGTATCTGGGGTTTCATGGCTGGCACTGTGGCATTCGGATTGGCGCAGACAGATGAATGAACCCAGACTGGCACTGCTCTGCCCAATAGGACAGCTTTCTGACTTGATGAGATTTGGGTAAGGCTGCTTAAATAGAAAGCCACAATATAGTAGGCACATTCCCTCTGTTATTACTGTAGATTTATATCCAAAGAACAAGAGATTGTCTCCATCCTGACTGTTCCACAGTGAAGTTATCGGCCATGTGGAATATTAAAGCCTAGAGCACTGGAAACAACTGTGATGTCATGGGTTTGTCACCTTAATGCCCATGTGAGATCAGAGCGGAAGAAGGGAAGGCCTGGTAAGAAATCTCAGGTCTAATGGCAGACAAACTGCAGTAGCTGACATATCTTAAGCTAACCTATGGAAATGCTACAGAAAGATGCGTTCTGCCTTGAGGGTGGACTCTTGCCCCATTTTTGGAAATCATTTGTAACAATGAGCTTTTACCACTGGCCAGTTCCAGTATGAAAAGGGAGATGAAATCTAAACAGCTAGGATATTCAGTTTCCTACGGCTGCTACGAAACCCCAGAGCCCTGTCCCTAACAGCAAGCGCCAACACCAGCCGAGGGAGGTGCCACAACAGCTGCAAGCAGAAGCAGGGGAAGATATCTTGGAAGATGCTGTCCCTTAGTGTGCAAAAATCCATGGACTTCTCCATGACGGAAATGGCAAGGCCAAGGAAAGTAGCATCCTCTCTCTGCCCATGAGCAGACTCCTCTAGTCTGGTCATAGTCTCTGAACTGCTGCAATTTCTCCAGGTCAAGATAAAATCCCTCTGGGAAAAGCGGCCCTTGGGGCGTGACCATGACTGGGGGCAAAGGGCAAGATTAAGAAGGTTTGTCCCAGACAAGGACACACGAGGGAAATATTTAAAGAAGCCACTGGACAGTACATGGGGACTACCCAGCCCAGCCCACACCTCTCTCTGGGCGGTGCCCTGCTGAAGCTGCAGCACAAGAGATGTCCTGTGAGAGCATAGTCACACCTTAGGCAGCTCATTCTTAGGGACCAAACTGAGGCCTCCGCATCAAAAAGCAGGAGCCTCTAATGCAAGGGCGGGCAATTATTTTGGGCGGAGGGCCGCTTACTGAGTTTTGGCAAGCCATCAATGGCTGCATGACAGGCAGCCAGGGGCAGATAAATAACTTGGGATTTAGGATCTCCAGTTTCTGGGTCCAATCCCTGCAAACACTTCACACTAGTTACACAGAGAAGGTTGGCAGAGTCCCTGGCTTCTTTACAATTTGTCTCTACCACTAGCCCAGAGCAGGAGCCCTTCATGAACACCAATTTGGTCTGTGTGTTCTCACACACTTGTCTCAGTATTACCCCCTTGCCCAACAGCCCCAGCTCTCTCGGCTCTCCACTGGTTGTGGCACATCCTCACCATTCCTTGCCGTACCATCCAGTTAGTGATTGGGGTTCCATCGGTGGAAACACTGGTCTCCGTCTAATCAAGAGAGAGTCTGCACTGAAAGCTGCTATCAAAGAGGGAGGGGGAAGAGGTAGAAACAGATAAAAGGCAGGCGGAGACAGAGAGGAGGGAAGTTTGACTATGTGGCCATGAATCTCTCCTATGCAGATGGCAGAGGACTTGATTTGAGGATCCTCCATAATCCTTCCTCTCCATGACATTTCCAGTGGACTTACAGAGACTCCTGTTAGCAGAGAGCAGGTCAATTCTAGACCTTCCAGAGCTTCAGAAGGACATGCTGAGGGAGATGGAGAAGAAATCTACACCTGGCCTGACTGACCTACTCAGGGGAACTGGAAAATGGGACATGATGAAACACACCCCTCAGGTACCAAAGCAAGGCCAGACTTAGCTGGAGGTCAACCCTCTTAGACAGTTAAGGACTAGGCTTACAGAGCCTCACAGCTGACATTGTTAGTGGGCAGGGTGGTGAACCCATTACTGGCGATATACGCAATGCCCCAGAGCCACTTACTGCTCCTGTGCTCTGCTGCCGGGCATCCAGGGCTCCAGCGAGCCCTTCAGTTGCCTGGGGATCTTCATACTTCACCCTGAAAGAGAGAGACATGTAAAAAAACCCCCAACATACGAGCAGCAGGAGAGGTGCACAGGACTGGTCTCCCGATGGAATTCCTAGATATAACTATTCAGGGCTGCTGACTGCATTACTTCTCTCCTGTTGTGACCCTGAAGACACCCTCCCCCACAGTGCTGAGAGCATTAGAGCACATTTGTTTAGGAACCCCTGCTGGTTAGAAACGCAACAGTAACGGGTCTGCCTACATAGCAAAGTGCATGGATCCTTACAGCCTGAGCAAGAGGTTAAGAGTAATAATAGATTGATGTCCTCTGTGGACTGAGCACAGAAAGGGGGAAAAAGACTTACGCTGTCTAAAGGGTTACAAATGCTGCATAAGGGTTCACAGCCATACAGAGAAATACAAACAAGCCCTCACCTAGGTAGACCCTTTCACATGTCTCCCCCCTCTTTCCTACAGATACAGTTCTAAAAACTTTACACAAGCAGACCACCTACCCCCTCCCAAAAATTCCACTGGAAGCTGAAATGCACAGGCCTGTGCACCACAGGTCAGACAAGATGATCTAAACTAAAGGATTCCCTCTGGCCTCATGATCTCCAAGTGTGCCAACACTACTCTCTCTTCTCAACAGCTGCCTTCCCTCACTAAGTCCTATCCCTCTCTCTCACATATTTACACATGCAGAGAAACCACGTAGTTCTCTCCTTCTCTAGGATGCTCCTTCTCAAGCAGAGGCTGTGAGTTTGCAGTTACCATTCAATCAAGGGAGGATAGTCCTTGCACCAGGAAAACAGTCCCCCTCAGAGTATGTCTGTAAGTCCTCCTCAAGCTCCGTCCGTGTCCCTCCCGCAGCACTGATGGAGCGTCACATGGAGCTGCTCTTGTTGGAGGCCAGAGGCTTGGGCCACCTGCGGTCAAACTTCTCAAAGAAGTTTTCGTCAGTGAAGGGCCCACTGTGGATGATGGCGTTGAGGATGAAATAGAGTGCTGCTATCATGCCACTGATGAGGAAGAAAGGCATGAAGGGCCTGAGTTGCTTCCAGCACTGTTGTACAAAGGTATTCAGGAGCTGCAAGCCAGGTGAAGGAGAGGGGGATGCCATGGACTTCCTGCTGGTGTCCTGGGTCCAAAAGCAATGTGGGAGTCGATCAGCTCTGAGAGAGGGTGAGGCGGTGAATGTAGGGGTTGCTGACAGCCGTGAGAAGCCTAGGTCAGTGAGTGTAGAGGCTGGCTGGCAGAAAAGCAACTGGAGAGGCAGCCAGGGCAGGCTAATGGTGGGTGGTGAGGAATAAATAGAAGATGCCTCATTAGATACAACTGGAAAGATCACAAGTATCTTTTCCTGAAGGATCAGATTGTGCTGGAGAGGATACACTTCCATTCCTGCCCAGCTCCCGAGGGCCGTCCAATGTGGTGGGGGAAGGCAACGCATTGAACAGGGACCAGGAGATTAGGTTTCATTACAAGATCAGGTGGTGTTGGCTCCAGTGCTTTAATCCCTATCTTGCTTCTATCCACACAGCCCTGCTGCACACCCAACTCCCCCTATTTGACATCGAGTGACCTCCATGCAGCACCCTGCATGAACCAGTCTTCCTCAGGGGCTGCTTTTGGGTTATAGCCCTCTGCATATGTGACAGCAATTCAGAGCCCAGGGTTAAGATGGTTAATGCTGAGCACTCTCTGCCAGGTGCGTCCAAAACAGGCTGGAACCCAGCTTGGTTTCCCGTTCAGTGCATGGGTGCATATGTTCAAACACAAACCCCCCAAACCCAAAGCACACCCAGCTTCCATCAATAGCTGAGGGAGCTCAGTACCACTCAGAAACCCTGCCTTTGTGGACATTCTAGAGACCAGGCCATTGGTGACAACTGCACATATTCACTCAGCACACTGCAAGTGAAGCAGGTTAGGCAAGAATGGAGTGGGCTTGTGGCTAGAAGATGGCAAGTCAGCCTATGCCCAAGAAGGGCTGTGGTGTAATAAGTCACATTATAGGGTTTACTCCTTTCCTTTCAATGAGGACTGTCCAACTTCTGAATGGCCAAGGGCTGTGTGTTGTGTAGCTCCCCCTACCACCCCACCAACTTCATGGGCTGTACTTCCTCCACCAGCAGTGGGGGCACAAAGCAGAAGCTGAAGAAAGGAATCTGAGCCTGGGGGCCCCATGCAACCCACACGCTACTACTTGGACAGTTCTGCCCTGTATCATCTATACTGGCCATCATCAAAAACAGAACACCAGGCTCGATAGACCAGTGGTCTCATTCAGGGCAATGGGATGGCCCGCTATATGAGCCAATGCTGTGTGGGAAGTCAGACTTCTTGCTTCTCAGAAAAAAGCACGGCCCTTAGCCAGGTCCACCCACAGGACTAAAACTCCATCACACTGTGATTCTTAGTAGCCTTATCCATCAGTTAATATTGTGCACGTCATAGATTTCACCTCTGCTCCCTTTTCCAGAAGCAGAATTCAAGTCAGACTGGGAAGAACAGGGGTAGAGACAGACTGACTGTAAAGGAAGAGAACCTGCCACAGTCCTGTTGTGACCATTCAAAGGGATCCAGCACTCCTGTGAGTTACGGGTGAGAGCACAGACTCTCATGTCTTTCAGAGAAGGTGGACAGATTTTCTGAGAAGGCTGGAGCATCCAGATCTGGTCTCTAAAGTCAAGAAGAAGCAAACTGTGGTTCCGTACCACTCCCTTACGGCTTGTTTGTGAAGGGTTATTCCGTTTGTGGTCTGGGCTGCAGAAGCTGGGATCTAGTCCAGGCAGTAATACTACTAGCTAGCCATGAGTTGCCTTTCATCAGCAGATCTTAACTACATTACTAAATGAAGTATCACCATTTCTAGGGATAGGGAGAGTGAGGCACAAGAAGGTGTAATGACCAGTCCAATGTTATACAGCTGGCCAGTGGCAGAGCTGGGAATAGATCCCAGAACTCCTGACTCCCAGTTGCACTTACACCTTCCAGCAGGTGCTCATGATTTCAGATCCAGGGGGCCCAAGTTCTGCTGTGTTCCCACTGAGGGTATTATATTAGCCCAGAATTCAAGGAAAGCCCAAGTGCAATTATTCCTGTTCCACATCTCTATCCTTTCTTGCTCAGCCTAACATACAGAGGACACACATCTGTGGCAGAGAGGTGAAACCTAGAGCCACCTTCCTCCCCATCCCCAGGCTCTCATTTCCATCTCCCTACTTCCCCCTTCACCCAAATTCCCAGAGCTGAATAGCTGCCACTCACTCTTTGCGCTGCTCAGCCAGTGAGCTGCCCCTGGTCAAGGCAAACATGTCAAACTCATCTTCCAGTCTGCCAGAGGTGTCTAGGGACTGTAGGCCAGCACTGACACTGCCAGAACCTAAACCTACAGGAAGGCAAAAGGAGAGCAAGGTAAATACTCAGCACCAAGGAAATCCCACAATTGACAACACAGTGAGCAAAGTGGCACTGGGAAAGCTTGATTCTGAACTGAGCAGGCTAAACTTCTTCTTGGGGTCCACTGTTAGCCTGCCACTGGTGGATGGTGGGAGCCAGCTCCATGGTCATTCAGTAGGGGTGCTCTCAGTTCAGGCTACAGCACCAGCATCACCGACACCCTCATCCTTCAGGACCGTGAAAAGAAAGTGAAGCTAAGCATTTATCTGAACCACACTGTGAAGAGAAAGGGTCACTCTACAACACCACTGCCCCAGTTTCCAGCTCACTTCATAATTCGACAACTTTGTACAAAGGTTAGCAGATGAACACCTGGGCATCTTGACCCTGAAAAGGTCCCTGCCCAGGAGAGGGACACTGTTTGGTTACTTACTCATCCCAGCCAGCTGAGCAGAGAGGTTGCTGGTGGCTTCAGGCTGCCTCACTGTCAAAGGAGCACTAGATTCAAGGTCCACTAAGTTGTTTTCCACTTCATCCGGGACCTTTGGGTAAAAAGAAAAGTCATTCTCTGTTCCTGCAGGCTGGGCTTAGTCCTTACTGATCCCTACCCATTCCCCTGGCCACAAGCTTTCCCTTTTACCCTCAATGTCTGAGCAAAAAATACAGGCTGCCACATCTCTCCCTGTTGGGGGTGACTGTGGTTAGAGTCAGTTCCCTGTAACATGCTCAGAAGGAAAGGAAGTTCTGAGTTACCTTAGCAGACCGGCCAGTCCGGAGACGCTCAAACCTGCAAGAGATGAAATACAAAGAGTTTCAGTGGCATAAGCTTCCATGGCTGCTAAGCATCTCTAGCAGGCATTCACCACCATCCTTCCAGCTTTACCACTCTGCTTCCCTGAAGGCTGCAGGCTGGCTCAATTTGCACTTTCATACCTAAGAATGAGGAACCTCATTTGCAAGCCTGATTCCCACCCAGGGTAACAGACTTCTCAGGCACTGTAGGGGTGGTGTTGCAGAAGAAAGGGCAGAGGGAGGGGTCTACACTTCCCTGGAGCAACACCCATCCCAAGTGACAGAGGAGCGGCTTGTCTTTCTGACGGGGAAAAGGGAGAATCCCTCAACTAAATCCACAAACTGCCTTTGTCTCCTACTGGAATTATAGGAAAGGTTGGTACAACTGGGGAGGCTTCTACCACTGGGTATTTTCATCAGGGCTATGTGGCCTGCACTGGGGACCTCTGATGCAGTTTGCAATTAGTTCCTTCCTCCCACCTGTCCTGCCAGTCTTGTTCTGCAAAGGTTTCTCTATGTCCTAGCAAAACTTATACAAAAGCTAAGCATTATGGAGGAGGGAGTGACAGCAGTCAAGACTGCTCTAGAGGAATGAGTTTGAGCCTTCATTTTAGAGATTCATGACAGCTGCCTCCAGTTAATCCAGCTGTCAGTGGGTACCTGGTCACTCAGGCTGGGGGATCAAAGGCAGCCAGATGTGATGTTGGCCACGGCACTTCCTTGTGTGCCACTAGCTGAAGAAACTGGAATTCTTTAACTATGCTAGGTTTCAGAGAGCCCTGTGTCCTTTAAGCGACACAAAGGGAAGGAAATAAACCCCCTTGAGCTGGAGGGCAGTGGACTGAGGATGGAAGAGAATGGCCCCAATTTGATATACTTGGAATGTTACTTTCATGGAAAAATGGGCAAACATAAAATACTCAGGATGGAGAAGGGGCAGTTGGGGAGAAGAGGGAAGAGGAGCAGGAAGGCAGCATGACTGAAGAAGTACCGTTCGTAGCGCAGGAACACATTGTTGAGGTTGTCGTTGACAAGTAGCAGCTCCTCCGTCAGCTGCTCATGGAGGATTCGGGGAATCAGCTCCAGCACACGCTGCTGCATGGCTCTGCATGTCCGGTTCAGCTCCTGCCACAGCAAGGGGGAGAAACCACATAGGTCAGGCCAGGGGAGCAAGGTTAACTCAAAAACTCACAGATCTGCAGGACTTAATAGCCACAGACTACTCTGTCTCCAATGGGTCCTCCTCTAGGGAAGGTGGGGGAAGATAAAACCAGGCCCTGTGGGTAGTGGTGTGAGAGGCTCACCCAGGCAGAGTAAACTGAATCCAGGCCTGTTGGTAACTGGTCTGGTCAGATCTCTCAGTTGTGGAAAGCTGAGCTCAGGCTTCTAGCTAAGCCAGTTAGGGAGAAAGGCCCAGTCAGGAATACAAGGTCACCCCATTGACAGGCTACTCCTTGGCCAGGTAGATTTTCCTGGGCTATTCAGATTAAATTTTCCCCTTAATTTTGTTTCATCTTTCCTTGCTGTATCCACCCCACACAACTTTCGCTGTTCCCACATCATCTATGTGCAACTGCTCTCCCTGTGTGGTGTGCGGGATGCCATTCAGTTAACTGAGTCAGCGCTTGGCCAAGTTTTACCCAAGTGGCTCTCCTCTCCCACCAGCTCTGGCATCTGCTAGAGATTCCTTACTTGCAGCAGTTCAAGGTCAGAGGGCTCTGCCTGTGATGGCACCAGCTCTGTCAGCATCTCGGACATCACCTTCACATTCCCATTCACCACTTCCAGCTCACTGCGCAACTTCCCAATCTGTGAATGAGAGAGGACAGGGTTGACTAGGATATGATCTCACACAGCCTGCTCAGGATGTAAAGGAACCACTGCTGGAGACTGGACTCTGACTGCTTGGTCTGGAGTCTTGGAAACTCTAAGCCCTCTAGTTACTGTCCTGTGAGACTCCATTTGGTCAGGCCCCAGTTGGAGGGTGGGTCAGGCCCCAGTTGGAGTACTACATCCAGTTCTGGGCACTGCACTTCAGGAGGGATGTGGACAACATCGAGAGGGTCCAGAGGAGGGGCACTCGCATGATCGGGGGCAGCAGGGCAGGTCCTATGAGGATAGGTTACGGGATCTGAACCTGGTCAGCCTCCACAAGAGGAGGCTGAGAGGGGATCTGGTGGTCGTCTATAAACTGGCCAAGGGAGACCAGCAGGCAATGGGAGAGTCCCTGTTCCCCTGAGCACTACCAGGAGTAACAAGGCACAATGGTCATAAGCTGACAGAGAGCAGATTCAGGCTGGATATCAGGAGGCGCAGTCAGATCCTTCACAGTCAGGGTGGCTAAGATCTGGAACCAACTTCCAAAGGAAGTGGTGATGGCTCCTACCCCGGGGGTCTTTAAGAGGAGGTTGGATAGACACCTTGCTGGGGTCATCTGACCCCAGCGTTCTTTCCTGCCTGTGGCAGGGGGTTGGACTTGATGATCTCCCTTCCGACCCTACCAACTATGAAACTCTTTACTGGGGATCAAACTGAGACTATCTTCAGTATCTTCTGATACCAGGCCTCAATCTCATCCCTACACTTTATCAGCTAGCACAGGTGGCTGTAGTGACCTAGCTCCCCCTTCCTAACCAGTGGCTCTTCCATAGAAGAGAGACAGTTTTATTTCCAAAACAACAGTGTGAGAAGAAACAAAAAAAGCCCCAATCCACAGGTAAGCCTGTGCTGGACATACAGTTAAAGGAGGTTTTCCTCTCCCACCTCAGTGGCAAAGGCTGCTAATGAGACTCTGAGGAGCAGTTAGCTCATGCTAGGGGACAGCCTTCTAGAAACTGGAGAATTCCTTCTAGGGAAAACAGATCAAAATTCAATGTTATGCTGGCTCAATGTGAATGAGGATGGGGGAAAAGGGAGAAACACTTGCCTCTGGAAATTTAATCACTAGGCAGAGTGGACTCCCAAGACAGAGGGAGCAAAATCATTTGATGAAGGGACAAACAGACAAAACTGAGGCATTTGTTGTGCATACAGTTGCTGAGATGAAATGTCAAGAATCCCCTTAGGCCCTGTATAACCCAGCACCCCTAATTATCTTGCAGATGCTTCAGGAGACACCATCTCTTCGCTAGCCCACTGGGTCCCTCCTACATCCTTCCTTTGGGAATGTCATTGCACAGCATTTGGTGACCTCCCAGCTCACTCCCATGGGACTGGGCTGAGTTCTCTGGAGTTTGAGAGTCTCAGGGAGCCTAGGAGCAGCTGCACTAGAACAGACAGCTTCAAGGTGAGGGAATGCTGGGCCAGCACTCTGCTTACCTGCTCTAGCGTGGGTGTGATGGGTGCATCACTGGGGGTACTTGGCTCTGCTGGCAAAGTCACAGGCTGTGGAACTGACGTCCACTCCATGATAGGATAGACTGGGATTTTTAACCCTATTCAGCAGTCAGTCTAGGAGTGAAGGCCAG